TGATAATCTTTGAAGAGCCTGCAAACACTACAAAAGGTGAATTTGCAGCGCTTGCTCAGGCCTTTAACTAACCCCACCCCGGCCCCCGCCCCCCCCACCCCAGTCGCTCTTGGACTCTCTTACCTAGAGCAGTGGTTCTCAACCTGTGGGTCGCGACCCCTTTGGGGGTCGAATGACCCTTTCACAGGGGTCACCGAAGACCATCGGAAAACACATATATAATTACATATTGTTTTTGTGATTAATCATTATGCTTTAATTATGTTCGATTTGTAACAATGAAAATACATCCTGCATATCAGATGTTTACATTACAATGCATAACAGTAGCAAAATTACAGTTATGAAGAAGCAACAAAAATAATTTTGTGGTTGGGGGTCACCACAACATGAGGAACTGTATTAAAGGGTTGCGGCATTAGGAAGGTTGAGAACCACTGCCCTAGAGGAACTGCAGACCCAAACTATTACCAACGGATGTAATAATGAATTCTGAATTTCTCTACTAATCTGACACCACAGTTATAAGTAAAACCAGAAGCTGTCCCCTGCCTTGTGGAGGCTCTTAGCTCCTGCAGGAGCAGGTTCTGCTGCTGGATGTCTGTCGGCCGTGGGAGACTGGGTACCACTAAATGGAAAGCTCAGGAGAGCAGTGATGAAATGATGCTTAACACAGAGCTTTGTCCGAGTCCCTTCTAATTCAGGATATTAAACTCTTCGTCTGTATTTGCATTAAATTATTGAACTACAGTGGTTTCAATGTTAAGCAAACAAAGCAGGACTCTTCAAAGTTATATACACAGGAAAAGAATGGTCACATTAAAATGCATAGCACAGGAAGCTGCTAACAGTAGCATTGATTGTCTCGAAGAGGTGGGACAATCTGGAAGGTGATGTTTTTCTGCTTATTGATGTTTATTTTGTATTTTCCAAAATTTCTAGAAGATGATACACTCACTTTATAATAAGAAAATACAAATAAGTAGCCATCACAAACCCTGTGGCAGGGGCAAGTGCGATTAGAGCTGGAGCTCATTGCTTGGTGACCACAAGAGGAATGTGGCTCCACAGGATTCATTAACAGCTCCTCCTGTTTGATGGAACATAACATAAAGGAAACTCCAAAAAGGCCAGTGCATTGCTCCTAAAGCACATCCTGACATAGCCTGAGCCAAAGGAAGAGATGACTTAGCACATGGGGGAAATGGCAGGAAAGAAAGACACTGATGTAATAAACTAAAAAAAAAGAGGGTAAATCTGAGTCCTGGCCATGGAACTCCACAAAGGGAGAAACAGGGAGGAGAATTTTCATATCAGATAAGCCTGGAGGAGACCAGAGGGGAGCAGAGTGGGCAACGGAATTCACAACCAATGTCACCATAGCAGCCTTGGGCTATTAGACTTCACCAGTGATGGGACTGGAACAACTGTGTAGTATGTGAAAGGCTCTGCCCGGTCTGAAGTGGAGAGGCCCTCACATGGGAAAATGCAGTTGGCCCCACAGACCACCTGCTATGTGTTGGGATGGAGGGTGGGTGGGGTCAAGAGTAAGGCATGCTTGATGGATGATGACAATACTCTTTTTATATGCTCAAAATGCCTTCACAGGTTCACATACAGACTTTCTAGAATGTCAATGACACCGCACCTTAAGCTCCTAGGGCCAAACACCGTCAACGACCCTTTAAACACTCCCACTGCCCTCCCACACACAGAGAGCCACACCTATGACACACACACACTCCAACATTTACAGGGACAGTGCTAAAGAGTGGCTTGGGAGAGTTAGTTTTATCACCCTCCCTACTTTCCATCTATTCTTTGATATAGACATTTTCTCAATCATAGGCAAATGCATCTTCAGGCCATCCTCTGCCCAACCCCATCGCCATCCCCAAGACACTCCTTTGTAGAAATTCTTGTGTCTCCACTATGCTACCAGGAAGGTGTCAATATTTTCAACTCTTACTTAGTTTTATCTACCAAGGGGAAGAAAGCTGGTGTCCTGCCTGTTTAGTTCTGCCAGCCTGCGCCACTGCTCAGGTAGACAAGATGATCTTCCATGGGCGTCAGTAATCTTTAACTACCAAGTCTCATGTGATTCATTTCATTCTCCTCTACCATGACCCAGCATTTTTCCATAGTGAAAAATATACTCCGCCAACAAAACACGCAAATATTTTGCTATCTACACTATGAAGACCCTACTCCATTTTACATCAGGTAAATGACTCCTTAAAATGTAATTTTCACCCAGAACAATTCCCACGCCCTACATGTTTTTCTTCTCCCAAATCTTTCAAAAGCTCTAAGTGGCCATTTTCAAGCGGTTTGCCATTCTCATCCCAAGTTCACAGCACTAATCAGATCCTGTAACTGAGCAACTTAGGGGTGACACTGAAAACTTTCTCGTTGCCTAGTGGTGCCTAGGAACTGATTTTGTTGTTTTCTGTATAGGAGACAGCCAACTTCAGAGCTAATCCTCCAGCTGTTGTATGGGTGAAAGGGTCACACGTTCTCCCAGAATGCCACTGGGCTCCTCTGGGCACTCATGCCCTGCCCAGCTGTCTTTGAGAAACTTGAAGTCCTGGGAAGAACAGAAGAATCTTGTCAGACAACTGGGTGGTTCTGACGTTGGAGAGTCATGGTAAAGCAGAGATGCCACCATCAGGGCACTCATGTGATGCTGGGCAGCAGGGCCTTCCATGACTTCGCAGAGGTGGGGCCTCCAAGGATCAGGGTAAGACGTTCTTTCTTCTCCCAGCCTGATGTTTTTAAAAAATTCCTAATCAGACAACTCCTTTAATAGGATTCACACTGCCAACCTTAACCTGTTTATGGATCCAGTAACCAAAATGTGTGATTTGAAATTCCCCCAAACAAGAATCTGAGCCACTAGGTCGAGATGGGGAACAGAGACGTCAAAGGTGAGCAATGCTGTCTGTGTTTGACGCTCAGTGAGGCAATGCACAGTATCTAACTAGAGATATCTCCTCTCTCTAAACACAATCAGTTTTGCCACTGGCTCCCCGTGTGATGCTGACTTAAACCTTCCTGGGTCTCAAGCGTCTCATCTTTGAAGAGGTTGACATCTTTTTACTTTGAAAATCTGAGAGACAAGGGCAAAACCTGGACAGGAGCCACAGGCTGCATACCTGCCCTATAATCGGTGACCCGGCCCTCACAGGCCTGCAGCTTATTAGCTTGAATCCCCCGCCTCCTCCGAGCCCCACTCTCACCACCTCAGTTCAGCTCTTGTTTATCTATTGTCTCACCTAGAGCAATGGTTCCTGAGTGATCTCTGTGCCCCCAACCCAGTGATTCTCAACCAGGGAGCATTTTTGTTACTCAGGGGACATCTGGCAATACATGGAGACATTTTTGGTTGTCAAGACTGGTGGGATGCTACTGGCATCTACTGGGTTGAAGCCAGGGGTACTGCTAAACATTGGACAATGCACCAGCCAGGCCTCAACAAAGAATTATCCAGCTCAAAAGGTCAATACTTCTGAGGTTGAAAGATTACTCCAGTCATACCCACCTCTCATCTGCCCTCTGCCACCACAAGTGATACAAAACACAATTCCAATCAGGTCATTTCCATGCTTGAAATCCTCCAGTGCCCTCAGGTTAAAGTCTAAACTCTCCCGCAAGTCATGGAGAACATCATGATCTGGCCCTTTCCTAGCCTTCTGCCTCGCCTGTCACTGTTCCCCTATTCCCTCTTCCCCAAGCCACACAAGCAACCAACACAGGTGGACCAGACCTCCCATAATTCCCTCTGCCTCTCAGTCTCACCCATTCATTCCTCTGCTCACCAATTCTATGTCAGACATTCTAATGGGACTAAAAGGGAACTGGAAAAACAAAAGCTTTAAAGGTTAGAGTTTTGTTTGTTTTCCAGGAAAAGACTGACAAATTCGTTACACTTCAGTGTGAATTAATTGCTGCTATCTCTCCCCAAATCTATTTGCATCCAACTCTATTATGAACTGAAAAGTTTTCCCCATGAAATAATTCTTGATGTTAAGCTGTAGGTAAAGAGATCTTTTGGGGACACAGTGACCTGCTCTTTTGAAACTGCCCAGTATCCAGATTTTAAATGATGTGTCTCTCTCATATCGATGTTTCTCTCTCTCCACCCCCCTCCACTCTCTCTAAAAATCAATGGAATAAAACTCACTCTCTCTCTCTCTCTCTCTCTCTCTCTCTCTCTCTCTCTCTCTTACACACACACACACACACACACACACACACACACACAATAAATAAATAACTCACTCCTCTAATTCTTTTTTTTAAATGAAATTAATAGGAGAGATTTGTCTCACCAGGTACCAGCAGCAAGCAAGTATGGTGAGATTCTTTCTGGAATTAAGTCTCTAAAGGCACAAAATAAGAGGCCTAGAAGCTCATATATGATAGTCTTTTAAAAATATAACAACTTTTGGGTTGAAGTAGATTCTACATATTTTAGCTTGCATCAAAGCTGTCGGACAAGGACTTGTGGAAAAAGGAATAAATGGCTGGAGAAATATGGAAACAGAAAGGGGATAACCAGTGTGGAGATGCTTGTGATAAATCTTTATACCCATTAATGTAATTGTGATTATAGTCAAAAACTTCACCATCCAATAGAGGTTTCGGCAATGATGACAATGTTCTGAGTCTGAGCTGTCCAAGATGGTAGCCATTAGCCCCACGTGACTACTGCGCATTAGAAATCTAGCTATCAAGGCTGAGAAATTGAGTTTTTAATTTTAACTAATTTAAACTTAGTTTTAAATAGTTTTGTACCGATGAAATATCTCCAGGAGAAATTGAAAGAACTCTCAATACAATGCAGTCTTGCAGCTGTAAACAGCGCATCTACCAAAAGTACAGTTTCTGACTCACTCCAACCCCCACCCCAACCATTACCCAACATACCCAGAGGTGGGCCTTGCTCCCTCCTCCAGGGTAAGCCTGCAACGGTGGCCTCTGGAAAGATGCGTACTTACCCTCACGCAGGGGAAGGTCCTCTTCCTGCTCGCTGGGGGAAGGCAGCAAGGGCTGCAGGGGCTCCATGTTAATAATGAGCTGTTTGTTCAAGGAGTGGGAACTGCGGCTCTGGGAAATGTTGGTTCTGAAAACAGACAAGCCAGATAGAGTTGGTTTCCATTCCAACACCAGCCTCTCCATCCCAGTCGGTTATGCACATCCCAGCTGGGAACTGCCTCTGGACTCACAATGGGTTGGGCTAGTGAAAGACGGCATAACAATCAAGACGCATAGCCCTTTGGATCCTTAAGGCCCTGATAAAGTGTCCATGTGTCCTAATGTACTTCCCCACGTGTCATCAGACTTGGGCATGCTAGACTAGGTGACAACACAGGCATTCCAAACGATATGGGAGGCAGGTATCACTAGACTAGGCACAGAAAAGTGAATAAAGGGCATGGTTCAAACTAATTTAATAACCACAAAAAAACAAAAAACAAAACAAACCTCTACCAGGCAGATGGCACAGATGTTCCATAACTACAAGCTATTGTGTCACTGGACGTGCAATGTTTAATATCAATGTTTAACATCCCCGTTCAAATTCCTGCCCCAGTCACCAGCCAGCCACAGAGCACAGCTCTGCTTTCCTTTCTCCTTTTGAAAGGAGCACGCACCTGTGCCAGTGGCTGTGACAGGCAGCAGATGGCAAGGCAACCATGCAGGTGTCTCATCAAGACTACTGGCTGGAAGCTGGGAAGCCCATATGCACTGCCTGCTGCAGGGGACCTGCTGTCTAGCCTGACAGAGAAAGAGGTAGGGCACGTATGGTGTTCCCTGTGTTCCCTGTCAAAACCAAAACCAGCCCAGCCAGTGTGGTTCAGTGGTTGAACATCCACCCATGAATCAGGAGGTCATGGTTGGATTCCCAGTCAGGGCACATGCCTGGGTTGTGGGCTCAGTCCCCAGTAGGGAGTGTGCAGGAAGCAGGTGATCAATGATTCTCTCTTTACATTGATGTTTCTATCCCTGTCTCCTTCTTCCTACCTCTCTCTGAAATCAGTAAAAAAAAAAAAAAAAAACAAACCCATCCTTCAAATATGATGTCAAACATCTCCTTCCCCTCACCCTCTGGGACTGGCCTCACAACACACACTCTCTTTCTCCTTCTCTGCTCACTGACTCTCCCTTTTACAACTGCCACGTTGGTCACCTCTGACTCTGTGATTATGGTTGTACTAATCAGAATGAGCCCCACCTTGAGAAACAACTTCAGGGCAGAGAGTGACATATCCATTCTCGTCAGCCTTACAGCACCTTGATGGGCACCCTGAAGGGTGTTAAGGTTTGAAACGACTGCAATCCTGGCTTAACATCACTGCCATCTCAGACTGACCAGAGTATCCCAGGCCAGCTGATGGGACTGCCTGGTACCTGGGCAGGTGTTTCCGTAGGGAGTGGGGGATGGGGCATCGGGGAAGATCAGGACCCAGCCAGGAGATGACACAGCCTTGCCTCACACACATCCTGCTTATTCATGTGACACTCAAGGTCAAGTCAAGCCAATGACTCTCCACAGAGCAAACAACTCAAAACGGAGCCCAGCTGTGCTCTCGCCACGGCCCAGCCAAGTCTGTCTGAGAGGGATTCCAGGGCAGTGAGAGTGCCATGCCTGGAACTAGGGCCAAAAAACAACATAGGGCCTGGCAGCAGTGCCCTTATACCCTTCTTGTCATTTGGCAAAGCCGGCATTTAAATCCCTCTGTCCATCCCAGAAGCCTCCAGAGCCCCAGGGAGCACCCACTCACCTGTGCACCTCCGGAGGCTCCCTCTGGATTCTGGAACTCGCCTCCACCACCTCTTTGGCAACCTTACCGCTGCAAAAAACAAAAACACCCATCTGCACAGGCACTCAATGTGGGAGGCGAGGGCTATGCACAAGCATTTTCTTTAAACTTCACAACTTCAACTGCCTGACCCAGCTCTAGGAGCCCACGCCTTCTCTCCCTCCATGCGGGAAAGTTACTATGAAGCTGCATGCAGAGTGCCCATGAGCATAAAAGATGGGTGAAATGGAAAGGGGGGACCAAAACAGGGGCGTAAGCCAAAGTGCACTGATTTATAAACAAAACATTCAAATGTCAATGCCTACCCCCAGCCCCATCATCAAAATGGAACTCACCTGTATCGGAATCTACTTCCTTTAAAAAATATCTTGCTGCTGGACACAGTCTTGATCTGACTGGACTTGGCATACCTTTAAGAGAAAGCAAAGCAGTGGTAGTGACATTGGAAAGCCCACACGGGACACGGTGTGAAGTGTAGCTATTAGATACTTGTGACTGCCAGAAAGAAATAAGCTTTATTGTGTGAGTCTTGAGCACACACACAAACCTGAAGGAAAAGTTTCACAAAAGAACTGTCAATTCTATGTTCTCTCTTTTCATTCTTTTTAAATGTTGGCGATCACACACACACACACACACACACACACACACACACACACACACTCCTGCACCACCCACCACCTCCCCAATTTAGCAGGACCTGACCTTAGGCTGTCTCTGTTAAGGATTTGGGTCTTTGTCCTCAGAACAATAGAAAACTATAGTTACAGTCTTTGGCCAAAAAGACTGTTCTCCCTCCACCTCTGCACACAGGCTGAGCCAGTTTCAAAGGATGAGAAGGAGAGCGAGGTGGACAGCAGAGGGGGCGCAGGCCTGTGGAGGGGGCTCCTGTCAAGGCAGAGCCCAGAGAACATGGAGTAGAAGCCCCAAGGACAGGTGAGACCACGTGAGAGCCACACCCCAGACTTTTGACACCTGGGACAGACCTGCTGTGCTGACTGCTGGCCAGAGGCGGGTGACAGCCAACACCTGGTAAAGAGGAGAAAAGTCCCCAGGAGGCTGGCTCAATGGAAAATATCCTACTGAGCCTCGTCCTCCTGTGAGGACCCACCTGCTCTGGGTCCCTCTGCCTCCTGAATCCCATCCCTAGAGAGCTGTGGGTGGCCTGGCATTTACCACGGGGCCTGAGAAAAGGGCCATCACCACCTCCCTCTCCCTATCTTCTCAGCAGGGTTATTGCTCCCAAGTCCTCGGCAGTCAAAGGAAGAGAAACTTTTAAAGAGTGTCTGTTTGTTTGTTTTCATTGATTTTGTTGTTGCTGTTAGTGTTTACTAGGTTCCTAAGGCTCTTGGTCTGCTAAAAAGATTAAGAGCCTTCACTGGAGTGTTTGAAATTCAAACTCAACTCTATGCCCAAGTGTAGAGGACACCAAAGCCCCCAGGTGTGGAGGCACAGCAGCTCCAGTGACCCTGCTCTGGGGAGAGGTGGGCGGCCCTGGTCTCCACTGGTTCAGCCTTAGCTCCCACCATCCCAGGCCCCTCAGGGAGGCCGCTGCCTTCTCCCTACACCCAGACGGGTGGGAGGCCTCTGCGCTGCATGGAACATAAACCCTCGAAGTGCCTCGAGAAAACAGGTCAAAAGACACATTTCGCAGGGAAAGTGCATCCCTGTCTGAGCAGGATGAGAGGAGGGTGGAACGCGTTGGCCTTTTTCTGGCAGCTGGTGGCCCTGGGTGATTATTGGTGTCACTTGATTTGCTCAGAGACACTCTCCCAAGAGCACTACCACCAACTCCCTGCCCCTCAAGTGCCCAGGTGGCTCTCGATAACATCTGGAATTGTAACAGGGGAGTGTATCTGAGAGCTTGAGCACCATAAACTCCCTGGGAGCTGGGAGACACAGACAGTAGGCTGGAAGGACGAGGATGTGGAAACAGAAAGTCAGATGTCCCAGACCTGTGCGCGATCAGCAGCACCTGCTGGGAGGGATACACACACTGGTCCTCAGCTCCATCACTACAGTCTCACTCAGCAGGTCAGGAGAGGGGCCGGCAGTTTGCATTGCTATCAAACACCCCAGGCCATGCAAAGGCTACCCACTGGCATTTAAGAACCTCTGAGTTCCCACATTCTCATTAAGTGACCCAAGAGGTGTCGTTTTACTTGAAAGAGCAGAGGCCCAGATTCCTACCTGCTTCTGGTCCTGTGACCTAAATCAAGCCAAGTTTTTCCGAGTCCCAGTTTTCCCCAAATATCTTTAAGGGGGAAGGTGTTGTAAACCTAATTCATAGAATTCTGAAGAGGATGAAATGAGATTAAATGATTTGAAAGCACCTAGCGTACAACCTGCTCACTATACCGGGGTGGGCAAAGGTAGGTTTACAGTTGTGAGTGCACAAAACACAGTTCATTCTTGTATTATTTTCCATACAAACAACTGTAAACCTACTTTTGCCCCACCCTGTATAATAGTCTCTCCCTCCCCACCTCCCACCCTATCTCCCTAATATCACCCTCAAAACCCCTCCATTGCCCTCTCACTATGGAGCTACCAAAGCCAATTCTCTAAATCACAAGTTCTGGGAACCGTGTCAAACATCCTGGACGCTGGTGAAAGCGCCTTCATGCTCTAACTCTAGCTGAACTCTGCCTCCCAGGCTCTCATGTCAACAAGCCCAGAGCCAAAGTCTTCTTCCCACCAAAGACAATGAATGCACAACCGAGTTAAAGTAGCAATTCTCTCGCCTCCAGCCTTCTTCCCCACCTGCCTTCTCCCACTTCCGCCTCCACCTTCCTGTGAAAACCCCAGCATAGAAGCGTTGACTCGTCTCAAACATCTGACCTCACAGAGCAATCCAGACAGTCCCCAATTTACCTGACTTGACAACAACTGTGAGTTCAAATGGTGGCCTAGTCATGACTTACCTTTCAGTTGTCACAGTTCTTCACCACCCCTGATCCCGGGTCTGCCAGGGCAGCCACAGGACCCAGAGATCCATGGCACTAGGGAATTTGCCAGCCCAGCCCTGCCTTTGAACTGTGTTTTAAACGGTATAATGGATGTGAGATGCACCATGCATGCGGACAATGCCTGGATCCGGCAAAGTGTTCGCTAAGTGTTGGCATCATAGGGTACATGCAGAGCAGCCCTGCAGGAGCACACTCCCCTCGCCCTGCTTCTAACTTTTCTCCTCTGGCACCTGCTGCTGCAGAGGCTGGGCATGGAGGTCAGGTGCTTGGGAGACAATGGGTGGCCCCCTAAGAGGCCACCTCTAGAATTAATAATACAATTTTCCATTTTAACATGGTTTACAGCTTCTGGAGTAATCATAACAATAATGACATGTTATTATTGAGCACCTACTATGGGCTTTGCCCCATCCAAAGCACCTTAAACATACTAATTCATTGTATGCCCACAGCTCTCTTCCAGGAGGAAGCAATCCACATTTTTACATGAGGAAATTGAGTCACAGATGGGTTGTCACTTAACTATGGTCACATGACAGAAACAGGAGCAACGAGGCTGCAAAACCAAGTCTCCCTGTATTTTTTAAATAAGGCTTTAGCCATGCAGATTCTCAGACCTCAAGGGGCATCAGAACCACCTGGCAGGCTTCAGAAAACACAAGTTTACGATTCAATAAGCCTAAATGAGCCCAGAAATGCATTTCTAACACATTACAGGGACCTGGAGCTGGTGCAGGGACCCTACTTTGAGAATCACTCCATTAGAGCCCTTAACCCTAGATTGCAAGTTTTTTATCACTTGCAATGTGGGAAATTTTTATCACTACCAATATCTAGACCCCCTCACCCATTTCTGAATTTTTCAAAATAACAGCTTTATTGAGATATAATTCACATACCATAAGGTTTACCCTTTTAGATTGTACACTTCAGTGGTGTTCAGTATAATTCACAAAGCTAAACACTCATCAAGAAATACATTCATCACCCCAAAAAGAACTGTCCCATAGCCATTGGCAATCACTTCCTGTTTCCCTTCCATGCCAGCACAGTGCACGGCACAAAGCAGATGATGTTCTGAGTGGAAACACCAGTGAGTGAGCCGCTGAACCCCTCGGTGTGGCCCGTGTGCCTTCAGGGAACCAGCTCCCAGCCATGGTGAGCTCTGGTGCTCTGGGGGTGGAGCACCTAGAAAACACATGGCATAAAGGAAGCTCTGAAATGTGACTAAGTCTGTGTCAGGGATCCCGTGTGCTTTGAAGCAGGAGGGAAAGTCAGAGTTTCTGCTTCTGGGCTCTGTTCCCAGCAGCAGAGCTCAGAGCCAGGGCTTTCAAACCTCATCGGTGGCCCCTGGCCAGCTGACAACGAGCAGCGCATTCATGAGGTGAAAGCACACTTGGGAATTCTTGGCCTCCAGGCCTCCCTCTTCCCATGGCAGGTGAAGTGGAAAGGAGGGACAAACACCCCAATCCAGGAAACAAGATCGGGGCCTTGCTCTGCCAGCCGAAACCGTTAAACACAGTGCCAGTGGGGCAGGCTGGAAGCAGGGCCGGGACTTCTGCCCGGGAAGGGGATGGTGCTGTGGGAGAAGCAGGTGCCCTCGCTGCGGTTAACAGAATCAGAGCCCTTCAGAATCAAACAGACTGGGCTCTGCAACCAACTGGAACTCCAAAAATTTCCATTGCTGGTGGAGCGGGTAGTAGTGGCAGTCACAGCAGCTGCTATCATTTATCGATGGTTCATGTGCCTGGCAGAACCAAACACTGCAAGGCAGGTATTACCAATCACATTTCACAGATGAAAAAAAAAGATGAGGCTCAAAGAGTTCAAGTGCTTTGCTCCAGACCACGCAGCTAGGAAGTGACAGAGACAAGATTTAAAGCCAAGAAACCCACACTCATTAACACCAGGCCTCAGTGAGAGAAGCAAAGCATGCCTGAGTCCTGCCCCTCTAGTCTACAGATGAGAAGGCTGGGCCAGCGAGGTCACACAGCTGGCTCAGAATAAGCAACATCTTTCCCTCTTCCTAAGGAACAGGTATGGTCAAGGGATGATGGAGGAACAAAAGCTTCTGGGAAATCTCAGGGATTAGGAGTCCTAGTAATTGAGAGGGGTAGCCTGGCCTAACACCAGCAAAGGTGCTGATGCAAAGACTTGGTCAACTCTGCACAGTGCCACCGTGCTCAGCTACACTCCTGGCCACCTGAGGCATTCACAGACAACTGGAAGTGACTTCTCTGACATGCCTAGTTGGCCCATTCAATGACAGAATTATAAGACAGACCTCACTGCTTGATGCCAGCTAATGACTGTACCCCAACATGTGCAAAACAGATCCCCCAGATTGGATTTTCTTCTCTCCTTTCCTTCTCTCCCTCTTCTCCGTTCAGTTCTGGTTTTGCCTTTGATTCCATCTACCAACTGAATCCCTCACACAGGATAAAACAGCATGTGTGCAAAACAACCAATTAATGTCTTGAGTTATTCCTTGATAGAGGTCCCATGATTGCACCAAAGGATCTTCAAGGCCATGCTGCTTCCAAGTAGGACTTTCTGACTTGGCACTAAAAGCCTGTCTGCTGGGGGTTCTTTGCTACTCCCTCCCCCTCCCTTACACTCGTCTGTGGGTCAGTAACAATCAACCCCACCTAGCATTCCTCTGGCACCTCGTTCCTGATGGCCAAGCCCTCTGTATCTGGCTCCAAGATCTCCTGGCCTTTCATCACCTCCCTTTTTATTTCATTCTACCCTCTGCTCCAGCCTTGTGTAACTGCTCATCTTCTCCATGTATGTCTTTCCCTTCCCACCACACTCCCTTACTCAGAATGTCCTCCCTCCAACGTAAAGACCCTTCCTTCCAATTCCTAGCTCTCCCCACAGTGAGACTCACCCCTCCTGGACTGCCCTCTAGCATTTTATTTGCATTTCCTTTTTAGTCTGCATCATGAACTACAAATCTCCTGGCACAAGATCCAAACCTTATCAACTTGATTCATTAATTCTTTTTTGAATGCTGGGGGTCTTTAGGGAATACAAAGATAAACAGAACCTAGCTCCTATCATCATAGAGATCAGATCTAATACAGATATAAAATATACAAAAAAATGTCATAATATATCTTTATTTTTTATCTTGTTTTGGCTGTGTTTCAAGACTATCTATTAACTCCCTCATCTGCAAGAAAATATCCACTCAAAAATAATTAACTAAATGTCTCTCAATTATTATTTGATAGGAACCAGATGATTTCATTAACAGATGAACAGAAGAGTTCCAAAAGCTTAGGCTCCAAAAACAGTTTGTCAGGTTCTCAAAAAGTTAAATATAGAGTTACCCTATGACCCCAAAGTTACACTCCCAGGTATAAACCTAAGAGAACTGTCCACAGAAAAAAAAAATTACATGGATATTCATAGCAACATCATTCACAATACCTAAAAAGAGGGAACAGCCCAAATGTCCATCAACTGATAAATGAATAAGCAAAATATGGTATATATAAACAACGGAGTATTATTCAGCCATAAGAAGAAATTAAGTACTGCTGCATGCTACAACATGTCTAAACCCTTGAAAACATTATCTAAGTGAAAGAAGTTGGGCACAAAAGGCCATGTAAGTTTATAATTCCATTTATAGGGAAAGTGCAAAATAGGTAAGCCCATAGACATAGAAAGTAGATTAGTGGTAGCCAAGGTCTGGAGAGAGTCAGAGATAGGGAGTGGCTGCAAATGAGTGCAGGGTTCCTTTTAGGGTTGATAAAAATGTTCTGGAATTAGATAGTAGTGATAGTTGTACCACTTCATGAATTAGATGAAAAACCACTGAATTATACTTTAAAAGGGTGTATTTCATGGTATGTGTTATCTCAATTTTAAAATAACTTGTTAAAAAATTTTTAGACTCCAACTAAAGACTGAGAGGACCAATCCTTTTGCATTTCCTTTTTCTCAGCTCTCATGTGGATGGAGGGGTCTAGACATGCTGATTTTTCAAAGGCCACTGGGTACCCATTTTAACCAGTCATCAAACACTGCAAGGAGCACACAGATGCCTTGAGGTGGAGATGATTGTGGGGGGAAATCCACTGATCTTTATCACCTCTTCCTGTCACTACTAGGAGCACCACATGTTGTGGATCAACTCACCCAAGGGTTTTCAAATTATGCTCAGGGTTTTCCCAGGATTGATGGGTTTTCTGGGATATGAGATTCTGTCTGCTGGGGGTTCTTTGCTAATCCCTCCCCCTCCCTCACACTTGTCTGTGGGTCAGTAGCAATCAACCCCACCTAGCATTCCTCTGGCACCTCGTTCCTGATGGCTGAGCCCTCCGTATCTGGGAAAATCCCAGGCAAACTGGGACAACTGGTCACCCAAGCTCCTGAGAACAGCAAGAAATGGATGAATGGTTTCCTGTCCCCAATCTCAATTCTGGTCCCCACCAACAACCACAGCTTCTCTATTTTTATCTCTTTTACGTACTGGACTTTGCCTACAGAGTTCTGTGGCTAAAAAGGGTTTGTAAATTATTATCCAAGCTATCATTCTCTTAAAGATCTTCATTAGCCAAAGCCCAGAAGGTTCAGAGACTCGGCATTTTTCAGGGAAAATGCCCTGAAATTTTCCCTGAGGTTAACAGAATCAGAGCCCTTCAGAATCAAACAGACTGGGCTCTGCAACCAACTGGCACTCCAGAAACTTCCATTGCTAGTGGAGGGGGCAGTAGTGGCAGTCACAGCAGCTGCTATCATTTATCAATGGTTCATGTGCCTGGCAGAACCAAACACTGCAAGGCAGTGATTCTGATTCTGTGGGGAGGGAGAATGAGTCTAATGAGGAAGACAGAATCTCAGTGGTGGGGGCAGGGAGAGAGGCTGAGAAAAACCACCTGGGTGGGCTCCAGGAGTCGGTGGTGCTGATACCCTGGCAGGCCGGACTAGGTTCTTGACTATATCGATAACCACTGCTCTTCCAATCAGTAAGTCTGTCTCAAAGAGGAGAAGCTGGAACTCAGTGGAAAGATCCTAAATTTGAATCTCTTTGGAAACCTGACAGCTTTATGCATGGTTTCTGAAGTCCTGTCCAGCCAGCACTGCCTTTCTGTGATCCCAGACTCTGATGGCATTCCACCCATGAACCTTTGGCTCCCATCTCTATATACTCAAGGCTTCTAACTAGGAACACGTGAGACTCTCTGCCAAAGATTTCTTTTTCCAGTTGTGAGAGTACATTCAGTCCAAACTGAGAGTAAGCCAGAAGTGCCAGAGAGTATAACTCCACCCTCTAAAGTAGCCCTTAACCAAAATGAATGAGGAATTGGAAGATAAACAGCCCAGCCTCTTTGCTGGTCAGTGGGTGAAATTTGAGGCCTGTTCTGCAGTCTGCCAGAGCTCCCCTGCAGAGCGGAGCCCAGCTGCCCACAGAGTGACCTGCTCAATAGCGCCCATCTACATGGCTTGCTTTCCTACCTCCCTTGCCCACTCCCCAATTGGTATGTTTAGTGACCATATCCCAGAAAAACCACTTGCACTAAAATCTTCTCAAGGTCTGTTTCTGAGCAAGAAAGCCAACCAAAAATAGGACCTGTGACATGTTGAATGGAAATAGAAATGACAAAACAACAAGCAACCCACAGCAATTCTATGGGAAACACCCAAACTGGAGCTCAGGACTTGCTCGGGCCAACAGTGATAGGAGACACTCTGAACAATGCACCAAATTCATTATTCACTTAAATATAATAAAAAGGACTATATTAAAAGAAATGAACATGGAACTATTTGCAAAACATTAAGGGTTCCATGGGTGTTTTAAAGTCTATGATTAAATGAATAAAAGCTACTTACTTATAAAAGGCCTGGTTCTCCACCCCACACTTCCAGAGATGTTTGCAGGCAGCTGGTGTTGAGGTATGGAATGCCAACATGGCTTTTTTCTAATAAAAAATAAAACAAAAAAGGGCATGTTAAACACAGTTTATGTTTTTTATCTTTTTCTTTCAAGTAGCTTGCGTATCACTATGTTCTTAAAAGTGTTGTTAAAATGGTATTCTCCCTTTTGCAGACATCACTAATCTGACTAGGCCCTGTTTCTGATAAAAAGCAGCCTCATAATCTTCAAGTCTCCAGGCATTTATCACCTCTCAATCCGACTTGGATGAGTTCAAAAATGTGTTTGCCCATCTTGAACAACTAGTGCTTGAACTGAAAACTAGGTCAGGAGATTCTGCAGACTTTCAGATCTAGCTCTGAGGCTCAAAGTTTCAGTATTGGTCTCCTCCCAAATGTGTTCCCTGGTAAACACAACCTATGTCTGGTGACTCCTTTATTTTAAGATTCTTGGATCTTATAGACTTTGTTTATAAAACTCTAGCCATCACTGGTTGTTACAAGCTTTGTAAGTATTCTTCAGATGTCTCATGAATCTGTATTTTGGCAAATTACAGAGGTAGGGGGAAATCCAGTTGCTAAATCTCAAGTCTATCTCAGTCTATTTTTTACACAGGGGTACTCACTCAGCATTGTTTACTGACTTTATTCTTAAACTAGAGGCCCAGCGCACGAATTTGTGCACATTGAAAGGAAATTAATTAAAAGACATACTTTAATATCTCTATTCGCCCTTTCTCTATAATAGAAATGTCAAACAAATTCACAATCGACAATGACAGATCAAAACACATGCATGCGATTGGCGCCAAGAGCTTTATATGTATCACACATGCGTGAGTCAGCTTAGCCTTTTTTTTTTTTTTAATTTTTTTATTGCTTAAATTATTACAAAGAGTATTACATATGTCTCCTTTTTTTTTCCCCGCCCTTGACAATCCCCTGGCTTCCCCTACCCCCCAGTGTCTTATGTCCATTGGTTATGCTTATATGCATGCATACAAGTCCTTCGGTTGATCTCTTACCCCCTCCCCCTCCAACCCCCCCACCCTCCCCGGCCTTCCTGCTGTAGTTTAACAGTCTGTTTGAGGCAACTCTGCCTCTGTATCTATTATTGTTCAAGAGTTTATAATGGTCTCTATTATCCATGAATGAGTGAGATCATGTGGCATTTTTCCTTCATTGACTGGCTTATTTCACTTAGCATAATGCTCTCCAGTTCCATCCATGCTGTTGCAAATGGTAAGAGTTCCTTCTTTTTTACAGCAGCATAGTATTCCATCGTGTAGATGTACCACAGTTTTCTAATCCATTCATCTACTGATGGGCACTTAGGCTGTTTCCAGATCTTAGCTATGGTGAATTGTGCTGCTATGAACATCTGGGTGCATATATCCTTTCTGATTGGTGTTTCTGGTTTCTTGGGATATATTCCTAGAAGTGGGATCACAGGGTCAAATGGGAGTTCCATTTCCAATTTTTTGAGGAACCTCCATATTGCCTTCCATAGTGGTTGCACCAGTCTGCATTCCCACCAGCAGTGCACAAGTGTTCCTTTTTCTCCACATCCTCTCCAGCACTTGTCGTTTGTTGATTTGTTGATGATGGCCATTCTGACAGGTGTGAGATGGTACCTCATTGTTGTTTTGATTTGCATCTCTCGGATGATTAGTGACTTTGAGCATGTTTTCATATGTCTCTTGGCTTTCTGAATGTCCTCTTTTGAAAGGTGTCTATTTAGGTCCTTTGCCCATTTTTTGATTGGATTGTTTATCTCCTTTTGTTAAGTTGTATGAGTTCCCTATAAATGTTGGAGATTAGGCCCTTATCAGATATACTGTTGGCAAATATGTTCTCCCATGTAGTGGGCTTTCTTGTTGTTTTGTTGATGGTTTCTTTTGCTGTGCAGAAACTTTTTATTTTGATGTAGTCCCATTTGTTTATTTTCTCTTTAGTTTCCAATGCCCTAGGATCAGTATTGGTGAAGAAATTGCTTTGGCATAAGTCTGAAATTTTGTTGCCTTTGGATTCTTCTAGTATTTTTATGGTTTCCCGTCGTATATTTAAGTCCTTTATCCATTTTGAGTTTATTTTTGTGTATGGTGTAAGTTGGTGGTCTAGTTTCATTTTCTTGCATGTATCTGTCCAATTTTCCCAACACCATTTATTGAAGAGACTATCTTGACTCCATTGTATGTTCTTGCCTCCTTTGTCAAATATTAATTGAGCGTATTGGTTGGGGCTGATTTCTGGGCTCTCTATTCTATTCCATTGATCTATATGTCTGTTCTTGTGCCAGTACCAGGCAGTTTTGAGAACAGTGGCTTTGTAATACAGCTTGATATCTGGTATTGAGATCCCACCTACTTTGTTCTTTCTCAGGATCGCTGCAGCTATACGGGGTCTTTTTTTATTCCAGATGAATTTTTGGAGAGTTCGTTCTAGGTCTGTGAAATATGCCGTTGGTATTTTAATGGGAAGTGCGTTGAATTTATAGATTGCTTTGGGCAGTACAGACATTTTAATGATGTTGATTCTACCAATCCAAGAACATGGTATGTTCTTCCATCTGTTTATGTCTTCCTCTATCTCTTTTTTCAACGTCCTGTAGTTTTCTGAGTAGAGGTCTTTAACCTCTTTAGTTAAGTTTATTCCTAGGTAGCTTAATTTTTTTGGTGCGATGGTAAATGGGATTGCTTTTTTAGTCTCTCTTTCTGCAAGTTCACTATTGGTGTATAGAAATGCCATAGATTTTTTGAGTCAGCTTAGCCTTTTATAGATATAGAATAAACTTGCTTAATTAGACCTGCTTTCTGATTTAGCTAAACTTTTTCCACCCAGTGAAGCACCTCAACTTCCCTTTCAGGTAATTGTCAGCAACACAGCAATAAATATCACCACAAAGCAGATTATTATTGTAGATCACACAGGGAGAAAAAAGGGTAAAATATTTAACTGCATCCGTTTTTGACTATATTCTGCACAGTGAGAAAACCTAAAGTCATTTTCAAGGTCCACCATTTCTTTCTTCTTTTCAGTTGGGTCAAGTTTCTAAGCTTTCTAAATCTCCATTTTCCGGCTAATGAAAAGAAAATAGGATTCCACTGAGTCTCCTATCTACCTACTCCAGGACTTCTGTGAGGATCAAATGAGATGAGGCATGGGAAACGCTTTACAGACATTTGGTTACAGTGTAAAGTGTTTCCACCTGGCTATAAAGCAAGTCGTGTTCCTGGGCTGAAGAAACTGCAAGGAGGCTAGTCGCTAGGGAGAAAAGCTGGGTGTTGCTACGTGACATCATTACTCGGACTGTTGGACACTTAGCATATTAGTCTTTTATATATATAGATGTTCAAACCCAGTGTTTATTTGTTTACCTCTCAAATATTCTAAGCATACGGCTTCCATTATAACCACAAACTTTAAAGTCATTATCTTTGGGGGCTATAATGCCAAAGGCACATCTTATGCATGAATCTCTCTCATGGGCATGCACATGCACACTCACACTCACACAATAACAGGGTTAGAAAAGCAGTATCTGACCTCCTTCTGGGTGCCAATCACATAAAATGTCTTCCCTTCAAACTTCAATTTGCAGACATCTGGCCTAAGAAAAGAAAATCTCTTTGGGTGAGAAAGAAAATAAAGTGGCAACTGACGCAGGTACCTGGATTCCCACGGGAATGCAGCTGGCTCACAAATGCCAAGTAGACTGCACTGAAACAAGACATTATCTGACCATCGGTGAAGGCCCAATGAGCAGGGAAAAGCCTCAAGAGAATTATACAGCAATGTTCTTCCCAAGAGAATATCCCCAGGCAGCTCAGAACTAGTTATTCCATTTTTTACAGGTGAGCTGCACCTTACTTCCAAGGAGCTCTTGAGGTCCCACAAACATGAACGACCCTAGCAACATGAAGGGGCCAGCCCACTGTGTGAGGCGGGAAGAATGTGGTTATTTCAGATGCAGTTAATAAAATAACATGGTTTCACAATATCTGTTCCCTCATCCATCTCAAAGAAGCACACCACACTGTGAAATTCTCATTTCTGTTCTCCCTGTTTATAGAAGTGTATTTCATCATATATTGAGACGCTCAGAATTGGGAGGACAGTTTGATGAATGGGCATCTGAAAGAGCTGCTTGATTAAAATCTGCCTGAAATGTAGACCCCAGGTCACCTTCTTGGTGAGAAAATATGTGTGAAGAGAGGACTCTATTTTTATTCCTTTGATCTCATTCCTCAGATAGTGATACAGGCCCCCTGCTTTTCCTCAGGAGGGTGGGAGGGGGAGAACAGTGAGGGCACATTAAGATGTTTTAATTTAGGTAGAGGATTTTCAAGGGTGACAAAATGGATGTTTAAAAAACACACAAAGATTAAGAAAAGAAAATGTGTTTCAGTAACAATACATAGCTGTTAGAAATACATGTGCCTAGCAGAGGCTGGGAAGAATGAGGTTGGCACCAGTACCCACCAGGAGGTAGAACCCAGAAACAAATGATTGTCCTTCTCAACTCTTCCATGCAGAGGAAAAACTGAGGTCCAAACAAGGGAGAGACCTGCAATAAATCTGCACTTGAGATGTGTCCAGTTCTAACTCCAGAGCTCAAGCAATTCAAAACCTGCAAATCTAACATCCGAGGGTGGGATGGAAGAAGTCCCCAGATTACCCGTGCCCCCAAAAGTCAGTAGGGAACTTATTCTGGAACATTGTTGAAAGTATGTATTGAGTAAAAGACTATTTCAGACAGGGCAAGGAAGATAATTAGAGAAATTGGGCATCTTAGATAGGGCTGATCATGACAAAGAGCAGAAGGTGGAAGGAGAGGAGTGGGCATTAGCTGACTAATGCTAATCTAGGAGAGAGGGTTTGAAAGAAAGGGGGTGTCAAGAGGAGAAGGTGGGGAGGGCTACTTTATAACAAGGTGCCAAAGGAAATCCTAAAGCCATAGAACCATGAACTGAGGTTCAGGCAAGTGCAAGAGAGCATTTCCAACCCAGGACTGAGAATAGATGCCTGCTGGCCCATCAAGAAGAACTTCAGATTCAAGTGCTCAAGCCAAAGGAGTGAGCTTGCCACCCAGAGAGACACAGCAGGGGTGACACACCTGTCAGGGACCATCAGAGAGGGAACTGAATTGAGCTGAAGGTATTAACAAGACTAAACCTTTCCAATATTCCATCACACATATAATGTTCAGCCTTCTCCACTCTTCACCAAAACCATTTTGCTCTTTGACTGGACAGAGTGGGTGCTGCGGGTCACCCACCCTGCTCCATCCTTCCACTTCTTTATTGACATAGCCTAGGCTTTATTCTTCCTCAAGGTCATGTGTCCATGCAGATCCTGCTCTTCCCAGTCCCAAGGGGGTGAATCTTGATTTGACCACCCAGTCAGAAGTTCCCATTCTTCTGGGAAGGATTGGTTTAAGTAGGCACATGCGACCCAATCCTGCCCAATTGAATACACAGAAAGTCTCCTACAGGACTTCGGAAAAGGTTATTCCTGCTTTAATAGCAGACACGTGGAAAGCTGCTCTCCTCCAGGCTTGGGTGCTGCTGTGTGAAGATGTAAAGGCCACAGTTGCACACATGACTATGCCATTTTATGAGCCTGGAGACAAAAGCTACCACCCTGTAATGGCAAAGAAGAAAATGGAAAGACCCAAGTCCTAAATAGTGTTGTTGGGCAGTTAAGTTAAAGGATCAAGGAACTGTCCGATCTCTGCAACTTACTATGTGAGCTAATCAGTCCTCCTATTTGTAAGCCATTGAGAGCAGCCATTACTGATGCTCTGACCAAAAGCATCTTTACTGATACACTGGATAACAGAAAGTAAGTCTGCAGCAGGATTCAACAGAACAGAGAGAAGTGAATGGGAGGGGCTGGATCCCAAGTTGCTCAAAGGAACTTGAGCCTTTACCCACCCTGACCTACCCCCTCGTCATAGCTCTGGTCAGTAAAGAAGCTACTGGTGCAGAAACAATAGACACCCTCTCTCTGGAGACAGAACCTCTGAACTCAGATACATCCCAGGTCCTCTGAGTGGACACCTCAGCTGGACAAATCTGATTCCCTCCTAAGACAGGGCAACCTAGATTGGGTTTCATTTATAGACAACAAATCCCTTTGTAATGAGGTTCCAAGGAAAATAAATGAATACCAGGTACTCTATCTGACATTTAAAAAAGAAAAGTCAAAGGTGGTGAATAAAAACAAGATTAAGAAAAATGATAAGCCAGTTTTCCAAAGAAGCACTCACCATTTTATCAAATGGGTTCTCTTATTTCCCTGAAATACCACAAAGCCTGCAGCAGTGAATCCCAAAAATGTTGTTGTGCCTGTTGAATCCTGAAAAAAAAAAGAAACATATTTGGGTTGAGGAATATAAAATCTCTATATATAAAACCCTAATATGCAAATAGACCAAACGGCAGAACAACCAACCAACCGAACAGCCAAACAACTGGTCACTATGAAGTAAGCTGACCACCAGGGGGCGCGCGTGGAACATGGCAGGTATTGGCAGCAGGCGGCAAAGCGTGGAATATGGCAGTCATTGGCCGAGGTGGCATGGTGGAGCAGGTGAGTGGGGGCGCCAGACCAAGGCCGGGCACCGGTCCCTATCATTGGGGAGCCTCTGGTGGTTACTGAAAATTCTTTGCTCCCACACACCGTGGTCCCACCTGGTGCTCGCACCTGCTGCTGGCACGAGGCCGGCTCACATCCTCTGCTGGCACCGGCCCCAATCGCTTGGTGCCATCAGCGGGTGTGAACCGCTGCGGCTGCTGGCCCTGATCGCCCCTGAGGGCTTCTCCACCTCCCGCTGCTCTTGAGGGGCAATTGAGGCAGCAGCTGCCGCTCACACCCACTGAGAGCGCTGGCCCCGCTTGCATCCACTGCTGGCGCCAGCCCCAATCGTTCCACACTGTCAGCGGTCAGTGATGGGAACAGCAGTGGCAGGAGCAGGGCTGCCAGCAGACAGGGGACCAGGGGCCACAGCAGGAGGGGCTGGGCAGGGGCTCAGAGGATGGGCCAAGACCCACCCCTCCCTGTGCCCACTGCAACCTCGTGGCCCACAGATCCTTTCGAGGTGCATGAATTCGTGTACTGGGCCCCTAGTAAATGATAAGTGATATGCTTATTCATCCTCACCCTGGATTCATTTCAGGTAATTCTAATGATTGTAAAAATAAACTGAGTTTCTGAGATGGGATTTCCAGGGATACTACTTCTAAAATCTGGGTGAGGTCCAGGAATATGTAGCTTTTCCCTGTAAGGAACAGACCCTCTGCCTCTGCAGGGACCTCCTGGGAAAGTACAGATGAGTCTTAAACCACTGTGTATCTACTTCCAAACGCCTTTTGGGGCCGCCTGAGTTCTCAGATCTTCCCTGTAATGTGGACAAACTGTTCTTGGTTGTCATTAGCCCTGAAACCAAAGATGCTATGAAACCAAAGCCCTGAGCATCTAATTGAGTTGATTCAATCCTACACAGGATTTCCGGCAATTTTAATATAAAGATATTTCCTACTTCGCTTCCAGTCTCTACCAGGAAAACTAAGCATTGATAAATAAAGGCAAAGGAACAACAACAAGTCTAGTCACTCTCCAAGTAATAAATAAACAGAGAGGCTAAGGTTTGTAGATAAAACCTAATTCACTAAATGGAATAATCTGATTTATATCACGACTAGGAAGGGGCATCTGGCAAATATCCTAAAATAACTGTGTGGGGAGACCACAAGATGCATGTGCCAGTGTGGACAACTACCACCGGCTCTCAGCCTCAGCTACATGTTGGAATCCTCTGGAGAGCCTGGTCTGCACCCCAAGAGATCCTGATGGAACCGGGCAGCAGGAGTTTAGGAGCTCTTCACCTGCCTTTCATGAGGAGCCTGAGCCTAGAGCTATAGGACTGGCACTTGACCAAATACAACTATCTGTTCCCATCTGAGTCAAGAAATGTTCTGGTAAGATTCAAAAATTACCTTTAAGAGTCTGGCAGACATAAATGCTTAGTTTAGGACTTGGGTTAGTGCCTGGTTAATGCACACTTGGTTTAACATATGGAAAGGAGAAGCCTTCTCATAAAACATTTCTGGAAAATGTGTGCATGAGCATCACCTTGGGAACTTGTTTAAAAGGCTGATTCACCAGCTGCATCCCAGGGATTCTGCATCAGTAGCTCTGGGGTGGGCCCAGGTAATTCTGATACACTTGGTCTGGGTTTCATGCTTGAGAGAAAGACTGTCAAATAATAGGAGTAAAGGAAAAAGAAAAACAAATACTACTGATGTCAAAGTGTAATTGTAAATCTTTTCTTTCGCTTTCTTAATTTTTTAAGATTGCATTCTTGCTGGCAATGGCCTTAAAAATAAATGTTAGGACCCATTTCTTTACCCAAATGGGACTGGATAGTAAGTCCTAAATGTTAGGACTTCCCAGGGGTAAAACCATCCACTTGATGGGTGAATGAATCCATGTATGTGAATTTAGGAATATGTGGCTACTACATAGCAATTAGCAAAAGATTTGTTAGAGTCCAATGGTGAGAACCAACTACCAAAACATGTGACTGCAGCCCCCTGTTGGCCCTTCCAGTTAGGTGCTGTGGGTTGGGCTGTGGAAATATCCTCGGAGGGGTCTGCCAGGCATACACAACAATTAACTCTTTTGGGGGAACATAATCTTTAAATATCAACCTGTGAGGGGCATTACCTTGCATGGGTGAGGATCCACCCCATAGGTTTCCAAAGTGTGAGCTTTCAGGAGTAAGTTAAATTCAGCAACCGGTGGGCTCTGGCCTCTAAAATCACACACACAAAATTAGGGAGTTAATATGTAAAGTAACAGAAACATGGAGTCACTTCATTCCATAAAATGTGATATCCTAAACTAAGTAAAGAGCAAAATCCCTGCACAAATAATAATCAGTAAGACTGATCATCATTCCTCACCGAGAGGAGCCCTCTGCCAAGGAATCTGAGCTCTTGTTCCCTGGCTGATGGCTCCATAATAAACTCGCAAGCACTCGGAGGACACCAGTGACTGTACACTTAATCAAGGTTATCAAGTTGCCAATAAGTAGGCCCTTGGAAATGCAATCTTAATATGAAATAAAACGCAGCATCTGTTCTTTCCAACTTACTTAAAAAGATTACCGGGGTAAGAGACATTCCTTGCTCAGGGTAGAAAGTGACAATCCTGTCACCCCATCAACAAGCCTAAACAGAGCCATCTGAGTAAGAAAGAACCGTCAAATTTTCCACTGGAAAGCTCTGAGTTTTGAAAGGAAATCTCAGCCACTAGTCCCAGCACTGTCCTCCAGGGTGGTACACAAGGTCTTCGCCTCAAGGGTAGAAGAGGGCTACAAATAGAGATGCTGTGAAAAGCCCTCCTGGGGCTGACTTCCATACCAGGACTGTGCAGCATTCAAAGACTCTTTGGCTGACATTACTGTCCCACGTGTATCTTAGAGCATCTGAACTATTCCCCAAGGGTGAATATATAACCCTAACCACCAAGAAGAGTGAGTTACAGAAAACAACAGGGATTCATTTTTGTTTTCAAAAGGTAAAACGTAGTGATATATAAAGAACATTTATAAAAGCAAAAGGAGAGCATGAATAACCCCCAGTTCAGCAGAGTGCAAAAGGGAGGGAAGTGACCTGGGAGGGACACAGAGGAGACTTCAAAGCGTTTGGTAACATTCCAATTCATAAGCAGAGTTAGGGTCATGGGTATTTCTCCAACTATTCTTTAAATTAAACATATATTACATACACTGTCTTGTATAGTCTTTTATGCATTATATATTTTGCAATTATTAAAAGAAACAGCTCCTGGCTTTTAAGTAAAAGAATTATTGGATGAAATATTATGTAATCTAAAAGCACACTGAACTAAACAGAATTGATCAGGATTATAATAAATGTATGTGCAGAGCTGTCTTTCATTAAACCCTACTGATCCAACCAACAAATAATTGTTCCTATTACCAAGCAATATATCTTTTTCACCTACTATTTATAAAGGAAGAATTCTTTTTTAAAAATATATTTTGTATTGATTTCAGAAAAGAAGAGAGAGGGAGATTAAGATAGAAATATCAATGATAAGAGAGAATCATTGATTGGAGGCCTCCTGCACACCCCACACTGGGGAATAAAACCCCCAATCCAGGCTTGTGGCCTGACCAGGAATCGAACCATGACTTCCTGGTTCATAGGTTGATGCCCTGGTCAGGTGGGTCAGTTGGTTGGAGAAAACATATCCTCCGAGGAGGATTAAAAAATAGAATGGCCTTTCATTTTTCAATGGTTTAAAACAAATGAAGAATAGTATCTCATGACCCATGAAGAATTATATGGTATTCAAATTTCAATGTCAATAAAGTTTTATTGAAATATGGCCACATCCATTCATTTGCATACTGTCTAAGGGTGCTGTCATGCTACAATGGCAAAACTGAGTAGTGGCAACAGACACTATATGTCCTGCAAAACCTACAATATTTACTAAATGGCCTAGTGCAAAAAAAGTTCGCTGAACCCTAATCTAGGAACTGAAGTTATGTCTCTTTGATTCCATAAGATGAACATAGAAATAGAACCTGCCTCCAAGATTTGGTAAAGATTAAGCCATTAACAGATATAACAGCTACAGTAGAGCCTGGCACAGAGCATTTGTTCTCCTCAGCCCTGCCATGAGTGATAGAAATATGACATTGGGGGAAATGTCAGGAAGCACACTGAGATTTGCAAAACAAAGGCCCCTCTTTAAAATAAAAGTCCTCAAATCATTATTGTTTCTTTTGGATTTGCCTGCAGATCTCCATTGGCTAAACATTGAAAAGATTTAATCTAAAAAGTCATACACAGAGAAAGGCCAACTACAAATGTTCAGAGAAGGGGGTTCAAAGCCGAAGGAGGGAAGGTGGACACCCAATAGCACTAGAAACTCTTGTGTCCCCCGTACTCACTGAGGAAGAACACATTTAATGATCAGGTTTTCAGGAAGACGCTAAGATCAATGAAATAGAAATGCTTTGTTTTATTCCCTCAAATCCCTCGCTGGACATTTGTTTCTGGCAAAAAGTCTGTTGGGTAATGGAAAATAATGATTTTCTAGCCTTTACATCTTGTATCAGGAACTGTTCTAAGGTTAATAGTGTCTCTAATGAGACATTTGGAAACAAAAACAGTGATTAGTTGAATTATTTTTTAAGAACTAACAATTCTCTGAAGATATGCTTCTATGATAAATTAGGTGAGGTCAAGTTATTATGTATTTAACTATACAGCTCCCTTCTGCCCATCTTGAGTACTTTTTGCCAAAGAAGACCACTCTCTCTCTCATTGATCTGCCTTTAGCATTCCATTATACTGAGTACAAAAACATAGTGTCCCCAAAATGAATGCAAATTATTAGTGGACATTAGTTGTGGAATGAGGTGTGGATCTTGCCGGGAATGACCTGCACTGCTTGGGGCACATTTGGCAGGGAAGGGGGTGGATTTGACTCCACCTGATCCATCCGGGTCTATGAGCTCCAGAATTCAACTCTTGGGTAGAAAACTCTTCTACCGCAAAGCAGTATTCTCAACTTGAGTTAGGTTGGCTTTTGCTGCAACTTGGTTGCAACTTCAGTTAGATTTTGCTCACTACTGACTTTGTGAGTGATCTCAGGACTGGCCCTGTGGCAGGGCTTGGGATCTTAGCACCCATGAGACTCCGCAGAACTCTCTAAATGTCATGGCCTGTCAACTTTTTGAGCTGCAGAGCATCTCCTTTGCTCTTTCGTATCACCCCCGGCTCTCTGCACTTTGATCTTTTTTCCTCCCTGTGGTCCTGTCCCCACCATTGGCAAGAGCTGCCCAGCCCTGGCCAAAGGTCTGGAGTGTCTCAGAGGGATTTCATTCAGCTCTCCTGTCCTGTCCAACTTCAGCACACTGCCCCTCTTCACCCAGTGAAGGCTGGGGCCAAATGGTGGTAGGAAAGTGCAACTCACTCTGTAAATGGCTTCTTTGGGGTCCCCATCAGTCAAGTCAGCCCACTCCCGGCCAATTCCTCTTCCTCCCACCACACCTCCAAAAGTGAAAGCAACTGTAGATCTCCACTCTCCTCAGAAGGATGGTCTGGATTTCTTTGTTTCCTCGGCAACCAGATAGGTTTTACAAATACAATTTTTTGTAGTTTATGTAGTTTGTTGATGTTATCTTGGTGTTGGAGGGAGATCAATGCCTCATGCTTTTCTACATCCTAAGTGGAAGTGAGGAGCCCCCAGTCTCCCATCTCTCTGATTCTTTACTAAGAAAGAAACATTATCTCTTACAAACTCCTTGAGAACCATTAGGGACCATTTCTATGCAGAGAATTAGATAGAACCCTACAAATTGGGGCAAATGCCACGCTATGAGAAAGACAGTGATGATGCACTGGAGCTTGGCAAGGACAAGACTAGTTGGAGAGCAGCAACTTAGAAAGATACCAGAGCGCTGGACAGGAGAACTCAGGTTTCAGGTCCAGGTCTGCTGCTTCAGAATCATGTAGCCTTGGGTAAGTTAATCCCTAAGACCTCTTTTCCTTATTGGTAAGAGAAGGTGGTTGCAAACTCAATACCAATGGAGATAGAAAGTGAATTGGCTAAATATGGATGATGGTGATTCAAAGAGCAAATTATTATTTTAAAGGGCCCTGCTGCTTAGCTCTAGCTGAGTGTACCACGCAAGGGTCAGGACCTAGTGTTACCAAATCACCCAGTTGCAAGTAAGCTGGAATTTACGTAAAATGGTTCCATTTTTTAAAAAAATATATTTTATTGATTTTTTACAGAGAGGAAGGGAGAGGGATAGAGAGTTAGAAACATCGATGAGAGAGAAACATCGATCAGCTGCCTCCTGCACACTCCCCACTGGGGATGTGCCCACAACCAAGATACATGCCCTTGACCGGAATCAAACCCAGGACCCTTGAGTCCGCAGGCTGATGCTCTATCCTCTGAGCCAAACCAGTTAGGGCAAAATGGTTCCATTTTTAAAAGCTATTATTTGGCCCAAAAAGCATACATCTGGTCAGAGTATGGTCCACATAATGCGGGGATTTAGTTTTTATAGGAGGAGTATCCAGATGCCAAATCATTGTCTTTGCATTCCTAACCAGGGTGTTATAACAAGT